AAAGAAACGGATTTTAAACATATTTTGGGGTTTCTATACCTATAACAGAACCTCCCTTGGAGGAACCCTCTCTATAGGGAACACTTTTGTCGTGCATCTGGCCGTTTCTTATTGAGAAGTTGCACTGTATAAAAAATTATGATATTTATTAACTTACTATAGGTTTTGTCAAACGTTTGACAAATCGCACAAATATCATGAATATTGACAAAATAGTCGAAAAATAATGAGAATTTATTTTCAATAATTTTATTGAATAGCACATTATTTTCTCTGATAATCGGTTTAATCGACAAATTATTTAATTTATCTAAAATGACTTCACATTCGGGTCTTAGTCTCCAATCAGTCTTTCCATAACTCTCTGTATATATACTAACACTCATTGAAAGCAATAATCCGTATATTTCTGATAATAAATCGTATGAATAAAAATTCCAAATGTAATTTACTTCGTTATTTAATCTAGATATAAAATTTTAATATTATCATGATTTTAATCAATTGTGTTTTTAAGATAACATACATTCCGTCTCTGATATCGTCGGAATCGAAACCAAATATTTTCGCTCCAATGAGTGCCAGACTATAGACATCTATTAAATGGTTATAATCGGTGCCCGACTGGGCTTCGGGTGCCATATAACTGATATTTCTATCAGAAATATCTGTATTTTTAACATTACTTTGTTTGTATCGATCACTTAATACTTTCACTTCTTTAGACAAACCGAAGTCACATAAAGTTATATAACGGGAATATGTGTTATCAATCAACACATTATCGGGTTTGAGGTCTCTGTGAATGATATTATTTTTATGCAAATACTCCACACTTTCGACCAATTGTTTGAATATTTCATATGATATATAATATTCAAATTCAGTCATTATTTTCCCAAATAATTTACTCTTTGTTTTCAAAACTTGTTCTAAATTTCCGACCAAACATTCCATCAGAAAACATAAGCAATTGTTTTGAATCCATGAATAGTAGTATTGAATGACATAATGTGAGCGCAATTTTAGTAATTTTTCTGTTTCAGTCAAAATATTTTGTTTCTTTTTTTCTGATAAATCTGAACAAATAATATTATTAAAGTTTATTTTTATATTATAATTTTTAATGTGTTTAATAATTAGTAATTACCATATAATTGACATTTTTTAATCGCAAATCTTTGATCAGTGTATTTGTGTCTCACTTCAAACACGCTACCAAAACCACCTGATCCCAATTCTTTAATGATGTTAAATATTTCTATGTCATTTATTCGATTGTTTTCTAAAATAGCAAAAATAAGCATAATATTTAACACAGGCGCTAATAAATCACGTCAGTTCTTTTAAAATCGAATTCGAAATATTCACGTTGGTTTCAATAATTTTAATTCAACGTGAATTTCACGTGAATGATCATTACTTATTGTACATAATACTATAAGTTATTGGATCATACTTGAAACCAATATTATAATTTGCAAATGTAACGTATACAAAAAATTAGACATAGCATGTTTGTACAACTTTTTTAGTGTTAAGTTAAACGTTCTTGTATATGTAACTTTAGCGGGTTATAAATTACGTAATTATTTAATAAACTACTGTATATTTATTAAAATAAGCCCAATAGTTTATTATCTGGCTTATATTTCATATTAGACTATTACCAAAATCTTTTGTGTATATTTAAATTGTTATATCATTGATTAAGATTGATATACGAAAAGTAAATGTATACTATTTATAGCTTACCGTAAGTTTGCGTTTCTGTCATCACTTGTTTGCCAAAATCATTTTTTATGATTTCAATGGTTTTATAAGTCAATTGGTGTTTATTAGCAAAATAATCATCAAATGTTGTAAATATTGTTTCAATTAAATGACCCCAATTGTTGTTATATTCATAAACTTTATCACCACTAATGGCGACGATTATATCATCAAATTCATAATAAACTAAATTAGTAAATAATAAATTGCTGATCTTGCCCATTTTGTTAAGTTTAATATCATATTTGTAAGAAACATTATCATTTGATAATAATATAATTTCGTCCCATCTTAAATGATATAGATATTTAGCATTATAATTATCAAAATGTGTCATTAATTTTGGTTTATGTATTAATTCAATATCTCCCAAATTTTGCCACATAAACACCTGTCCATTGGATGTAATGCCAACTGAGTGCCCATTGGAGCACATAATGTCCACAATTGTATATTCATCGGGAAATTGTATTTCAATGGGTTTTTGTGTTTCAATTAAATTATATCTCCATTGAAATACCCGTCCATCCGATGTCAGTGAACTTGTTGTGTTGCCATTACATAATAATTTATCAATCCATATATCATGTGAATTATGTAATAATATTTTGTGCGGTTTGTTATAAGTGTCTCCATTGAGAGTCTTATATAAACCCCAGCCGTATATCTGGTGATTGTTATCCAAAGCCAATACAAAATCTATTCCATTATAAAATTGTTGTATATTTTGATGCCTTAATTGTGGCACTTCTTCGGGCGTATGTATGGGTCGGTTGTGTCCCAAACCCAACACTCCCTCACTATTACTGCCCAACCCATAGACCCGATTATCAGTTTCGTATGTATGGGTCGGTTGTGTCCCAAACCCAACACTCCCTCACTATTACTGCCCAACCCATAGACCCGATCATCAGTTGTCACAAACAATATGTTTTTTCCTTTCGAGTTGTTATTAAAAACATGAAATAATTTAATTTCTTGTTTCAGATTTTGACAAATGTTAGCACAAATTTCAAACTTATTCAACATTTCAGACAATATTATTTTGCATGAAATAAAATTCCATTATATTTATACTAATGTTTGATTTGTTTAATTATTTAGTTTATAAGTTTAAATACAATTAATTATAGCAGATTCTCCATATTTAATCTATTGAAATATGTAATTATATGATTGAATAGAGGGTTTGGTTGTTAGAGACAAACACAAAACACATGATAATTGCTATACATATCATAACAACGAAATCAATATATTTTAAATAGATACCAAATGTTTATGGTTACTTTAATATCAAACATGCTATTTAATGAATATTTAAAAATATACAATTAATACAGTTAAATGCAAGTATTAAATATGTAAATAACCTTCACTAAATTAACAACCTTTGAATCTAACATTATCATCAATCATATTTAATAATACTTACTGTTTAATAAAATGTTACCTCCTTTTGATAATGGTAGAAGTAGTCTAATTTATATTGATAAATGTTCATTATAACGGGATTTGAATACTTTTATAACTGAAAATATGTAAACTTATAAAATATCACCTTAATGCTTTATACCTAAATCTTAAGAGCTCTGTAGTAGCTCAATTATATTGTTTTAAACTATTTTGTACATTAATAAATTAGATATTAATAAATATCTTAGATAATATGCTTATTAAATTACAATAAAATAATCATTATGCTAAAGTTAAAACAATCACTATATTGTATGTATTAGCGTGATGATAAAATGGGTTGATAATATTCCACAAATAGTTATTTTTATTTGTTTTTAGTATGCTTTATATCATGTAAATTATATGTAAAACTTAGCAAGTAGTTATTGAAAAAATATAATTTTTGAGTGCCGTTAGTGACAATGGTGCCGATAGTACCGATGCCGATAGAGTCTGTGCAGGCGTGTTATTTGTCACGTGCACAGATATAAAACAAGTAATCTAGTTTTATTTATATAAATTTTTAAAAGTATTAATTTAATTTTTCATTTAAAATTTCATTCATAATTATAATTAGAAATGCTATAAAATAAAGAATCAAATCGTGCCAGTGCAGCCAGAACTATTACGGCACTAAGTGCCGGTACCTCGGCATTCAATCACTACTTACAAGGAAAAGTTACCTTTGTGTTGTACGATATCTTAATTAAAGGCCACTAATTGTGTAGTTTAGGCTAAATAAAATAATTTAGGACTAATATCTCGGGCTGATAGCCCAATGGGCGCCTCTGGGAGGGGTTTTTAAGTTGCAATTACATTAGAGAATTGCATTGAGACTAGCGCCACTTGTTTTGTGGAATACAAGTCAACTAACTCTCATAAGCTTAACACCTATGAATTGCAACTTAAAAACCCTACCCAGAGGCGCCCACTGGGCTATCAGCCCGAGATATTAGTCCTAAATTATTTTATTTGGCTTAAACAACACAATTAGTCGTATTAAATACCATTATCGGGAATTAATGTCAGACCGTTTGCTCGTTAGTAGCTAAATTAAAGTATTAATAAATATTTTGTACGTTTAATAATATGTAATGTGTTTATTAAAATACAATATAATAATCATTATGCTACTTTTGGTATTAGGGCAATGATAAAATATTTAACCAATAGTTATATGTATATTTTTTAATTTTTTTGTTGAATTTTCTTAAATTTTATTTTTATAATGTGATCATTATAGACAACCAAATTATGCTGCTTTGATGCTTTTGCACTGAAAAAAAATTTTTTTGTACAAAATGAAAATGAAAATTGATATTAAAGTTGTGTTCAAAAGCAATGAATCAAATATTACTTTTATTTAAAGTTCAATTTTTTTTTTCAGTGCAAAAGCATCAAAGCAGCATAATTTGGTTGTCTATAGTGATCATTAAAGCATATCAAAATATGCATTTATAAGCCCTCAAATATGTCATATAATATGCATTTTAAAATGGTCAAATATGCACCCAAATATGAACTTATAAATTTTTTATTTTGCGATATAAATATTATTTAATATATTTTATAAACAATATAGCAAAATGTTATAATGGAAATGATTGTTTAGCTTTCTAAATTCATTTAAATATTAGTAATTAGTGGAAAAATATAAATTAAAAATATATTATTTCTTTTTAAAAGCTATAACAATTGCTGTAAATACAATAATTAATACT